CACACACACACACACACACACACACACACACACACACACACACACACACACACACACACACACACACACACACTGGCATAGCATGCAGTCGGCTCTCCACTTTTGAGAGCATGGTGCAGGGGACTCGGGGCGAAGCATCTTGCATTGATGCTGCATTGTCCAACAGAATCCCAGTCATGTGTTTTCTCACCAAGGTCACAGCACATGACGTCTAGTTCCTTCTTTCTCGGAGCAACATCCAATTTTGATGAATGCATTGTCACTTAAGTGTGAAAATGAAACACACTATGGCTACCTTAAAGCAATTTCTTCTAGTGCAGAGATGAGTTTTTTTTCTTTCTTCTGGAAACTGTGACGGTGTTGTGTCTACTTCACTAACACCATTTTGGGAACAGATATCGCTGCTGGGCTAGATAAACTCAAAGCAGAAGAGGACAGCAGGGGGACGGGATGGAAAGATTCATCAAGTATTACTTATGGGTTTATTCTCAGAATTGTATCTTTGTACCTATTTTGCTGTTAGAATGAATAATATTGAGTACTATGACATATTGAATTCTCAGCCAGATATTAGTTATCTTGTATCATGATGATATTATAACTTTGCTAATTTGAGCAAACAAAGCCCACAATTTTGGGCTGACTATGAATCATCTCTTTGTTAGTAGGGACCACACAGAAATGAATAATTGTAGAAGTGGCAGTCAGTTTGAGGAGAAAACACACGCCCCTTATAGAATACAGGAAGCGCTACACCAACTAAGCCAGTTCTATGATTTCATGCAGGATTTGGGGAGCGCTGCGATGAGTCACAGGAAATGTGAGTACGCAGTGGGAGTAGAGCATTCATAAATAAATTGTATGTAACTCACAAACCATCCACAAAAGCCGCCTCGAGTTGAACAGTGCACTACAGAAGTTCACTCAGCAGTATAGCATATTTTATGTTTTACATTGTGGAGTAAATAGTCCAATATTACACAAAGAAATATGGAATAAATGCATGGGGCTCTATATAACTGTAAGTAGAAAACAAATATGATGAGTTTAATAGAAAAACTGATATAAAACTGAGAGAAATCTAAATCTGAAATGAATTGTTTGGTGGTTTGATGAATAGCAGATGCGATTTATTTCTTCTGCTTTTATGTCAGATACAATTCAGTGAGTAGATGCAGTGAGTTTTGTCAGACCTCTTTTGGAGGCAGTCTATTGCACTCACCACTCAACAAATCATTTTAGGTTTTGAGTTTCATTTACTATTTCAGTATGAGCCCTATTATATTTATTTCCATCACATGTATTTTTCTATTTAAATTAAATCCACTTCTACCAAAAACAACCATCACTTTATTTTGATGACACATTTCACTGGGCTCCCAGTGTTAAAGTTCCAGATATTCAGGACAGTGTTGATCTTCAGAGAAGCTGCCTGTGTTTAACCCCTCAGCTCTCAGAGATGACCACTAATCTCTTATTGTGTAGCTGGAGGTGGGTTGCACCAGATCCAAACCCTCCCGTGGATTTTTTAATTTTTTATTTTTTTATTTTTTCTACACTTGTAGTTCAGATGGCACCGTTAAGTGTCTGGGCTTCACTTGCTTTCTGCAAAGACAGTTAGATGAGGCCAGAGGGCTCACTGCAGCTCACCGCCTCATCTTGGCAGTGTTGGCTTCATCCAGAAAGCCACGGGACAAGAGGATTTAATACAGAGCCGCGATGCTCCTCTCCAGAGGGGATTACTGGAGCAGTGCTGCGGGAAATGGACCCCCAGCACAGCTACAGCCAGGGCTGCCCCGCCAGCACACACTTAGAGTACGCACTCACACATGTGCAAACAAACACACACACACAGAAAGAAGAGCGTGGTATTTTATCTTTCACATTCACACAGCTCTCTTGCTAACTTGGCCATTGTCCATTCACCCATGCTCTCGCTCTCTCTCTTACACACACACACACACACACACACACACACACACACACAAACACAAACAGTAACACACCACACATGATGTTGTTCTTATGCTTCATATACACTGCATATTCCTCCCTCACTGTCCAGTCAAATCACACATTCTCCCTCTATCTGTTCCCTGATCTCAGTTTTCAAACCATTGCTCACAATCATAACCACTTCACACTCAGTGACCAGAAGAATACACATTTTTTATAATCTAATGCAATCTAACGCAGTCGCCGTGCAGTGAATGCTACATACTGTACATGAACACTTTTTTGTGTGTGTTTGATGTTTAGTGGTGGCTTTTATTGGCTGTTATCATATTGAGAAATGTTTTGGCAGTGGGCAAAATCCCTACAAATATTAAACCAGGTGTCACAACGAGAGTGTCTTTATTGCGGGGCTGTTGTTTGAGATCGCTTTGCATAGTACATGAATTATATTTTATATTTTTCTGTCCAGAGAGGATGGATTTCCTTCATCCAGGTTGGCAGTAGCTGCAATTCCTGTCTTTATTAGTTGCTAGAAAAGACACAACAATAATGAAAACTTGACATTGACAAACGGAATCAGCTGTAGTTTTACTCAAATCCCATAATGTGGACAGTTTTTGGTCTATGTGTGAGTGTACCTGAGGCATTTTCATGGCCCAGTGGGTTTTTTTTTCCTTCCCATTGGTACTTTACCAGTGGGAACAGAGGTGCAGCAGGGTGGGGGATTTTGGAGTCAACATTGACAGCCTTTTGTACCATCTGCCAGCTCAGAGTAGGTGAACTATGCACTGCGGTACACGTGGTACTCCCCTTAAAAAACCTCTCCAAAATCCATCTTTTTATTCATGTTTTGCTTGCTGTTGTCACTTCCATAATAGATACCTCAACCTGTACACATTAAATTGCACAGAAAAAAAAAGGTTTATTCTGTCTCAGGCAGAGTGAAGATTAAATATGTGGTGCTTACCAGCATCTGCCATGCTGTGAAGGCTTTCCCTTCTTCATTCCTTGTGCAGCTGCCTGATACGGCTGTCCTATACAGAAACCTTTCCATCTGCGGTTCCTATTGTAAGTGGTGTGCATTAAATCAAATTGCAATGAAGAACACCAGATCCTCATAAATGTTGAGTTGGAATGTATCTTCAGACTTTGCAAATTCATGTGCAGTTTTTTGTTAATATATCAACAGGAGCACTGCTTTTAAGAGGATTGAGAAGAGCCGACATGATTGTTACCAGCCCCTGACACACACGCAGCTTCATTGATGACATTTTTTTTTTTTTTTTTTTTTACACACACCCACACACAGCTCACTGTCATCAAACACAACAGACTGGGCTACACATGTTTTTTGATTAAAGCGGACACTGCCCCATACAGTACAAGGAGGCCCTCGCTGTATGTGGGGCTGCAAGTTTGCGAAATATAAAAACAAGACCCACATGCACTAACATTTTATAGATGTGCAATATTCTAAAGGGTAAAAGCAAAGGAGGAAGCAGAGGACAATGCAGAGAAAGACAGTAATGGTGGAGAGTCAAACTATGCATGAGATTTCTGGAGATAAGTTGGATGACGGATTCTTTAAAAATTTGATTTGATGTAGGCTAAGGGGAGGCAAAGTAGGAAAGTGCATTCTGTGGGAGAATTGAGAGCATGTGTGTTTGGATGAGCTGGAAATGGGTTTCTGAGAAAGAGGGAGTGTGATAGTGAACACAGGAAGGGAGGGCGGAAGATGAGATGAAAGCTGAAGAGAAAAGACATTAGGGAATGTGTATAAACACATGGCACTCTAACAAATACATATGTCAAAGTCACCTAACCCCCGTCCATATATATATAGAAACATATATACAATACTTAGCATTTTATAGATATATACAGTACCTTCATGTATATCCATATACATTTGTATATAAAGTATATATAGAAGGTATAGCCCATATTTTCAGCACCTTACTCTCTCATACTGCCTTGGTCTCATGAATAAAACACTGGCACACACATATAGTACATTCACATCCATTTTTGTACACACACACACACACACACACACATTCTGTGCCAGCACAGGCTCTCACACAGACATATCCCACTTGTGCATGGTAGTGCATGCAGGCACATGCGACATCTGCATACAGTATAGACACACTTGCACCCACACAAACTGCCTCTGTGCCAAAGCTCTACAGCAGTGCAGCTTGTTAAATGGAGCATTATTTTCCTGAGCGGACATAGCAGATGAGGGCTGGCAGACCTCTAAGCTCTGAAAATAGCATTAAGTTCTGCAGCAATGGATTACAGAAAAGTTGGGGTTTTTAATGCTAAAAAAAATAAAACAAAACAAGTCGAGAGTGCGCATTTTACTGAGAAAGTTTGTACTGTATTTTACTTTGTCACTTGGTCTACTACATCTGCTGAGGAAGATAAAGCAATATATATATCCCTACACTTTAGATCATGTTGAAAGAGGTAAAATCACAGGGGTATTATTGACTGCAGGGAAATGGTGGGTCTTAGTATGTGTTACTCTGTGTTACTCTTTTGTCCACCACTCCAAAGATCCAGGGTAGTTTCCCAGTGACAATACCTTTGGCTCTATATATGTGGATGGAAAATGGGGGATACTTTCTATTGCATGTGCAAAAACATGCTGTACTTGATCTTAGTCGAGCCAATTTTTTTCTAAGATAATTTATTTAATTACAATTTATTTATTTGTGTGTAGGATGGGTTGTGTGTAAAAAAGGATTTTAAAAAATCATTGCCTTTGACATTTTTAAATTATAGAGATTTGTTGTGATTATGGATTTCCCTTTTAAATCTGGGACTGAGCCTGTTCCTAGGATAGCCTTTAACAGGAAATGCTACCTGTTAGCATTTTTGTGACTTTGGTTGACTGTTGATGATAAAGAGGTTGTCTATCAGAGAAATCTATAGCAGTGTCACTGGTGTAACTGTTTTAAATTTAAACTCAAAAACATGCAAGCTTCAGGATTTAACCCCACTACATAACTGTTTTTATTTGCTATGTTTTGTTGCAGAGATTTGTTTGCTGACGCGGGGTAGAAGGACAGCCAGCGTCCGAGCAGACACGTACTGTCGCCTGTACTCACTGTCTGTCGACAACTTCAATGAGGTGCTGGAGGAGTATCCCATGATGAGAAGGGCCTTTGAAACTGTTGCACTGGACAGACTGGACCGTATTGGTAAGAAAATAATCTTTTAAAAAGACAATTCAAGATTGAACAAACTGTATTTTGCAAACTGTCATCAATACAAAAATGCTGCAGTTAGTGTCAGAAATAATAATATAATGCAAATCAAGGTGTTTTTAATATTTGTAAATAAGGCATATAATAAATCTCATTTCAACCTGGTCAGATTAGAGTAGATTTCACCAGTGGGGTAGAAGAGTTTTACTGTATCTATGTTTTACTTTCTGTGTGTGTATGTTCAGAATGACACACTGACACGTATAGAAAAAAAAAAAGATCTTTCAAACCAGTCACAGCTCTTTGACAAAATTTTAGGGCTGTAAAAATGTTGACACTGATACTCAATGACTGAAATTACTTTCAAAGTCATCCTCATATAAACATGCAGATAGAGCTCTGGTTTTGAAATCCCTGTGTGACTTCTCTTAGGCATACAATTGACATTCTCTCCATATCCATCACTGTTCCCAGGCTCAGCCTGGGCAGATGAAAAATTCACAATGAAAGGCACGCCTGTATCATCACTCAGCCATCGCTGCATGCTCTGTTTTATCCTCAGCTATGTTTAGAATGGAGGATAGAGAAATTGCTTTAGGGGGTCTCTTTGTAGAAAATGGCTGCTTTGAAAAGATGTGGTGGGCTGATAGTGATGTTTCTGTGAGATGGTCTCTGGTGTATGTCCTATCTGCGGGGCTTGATGTTCATGTACACCCTTCTTCGCTAATAAAGTCACTCACACAGCACTGATCCGTAAATTAATTACTTGATGGACTGTGCACAATCTGATTGGAGGTGTGCAGGTGATAAAGGGTCAGGTGGTGCCAGGGTCAAGCTGGATGTAGATACAATACCTCACAGCAGTTCCTCTACTAATCTGCCACCAGTCATAACAGAAAATGGAGAGATTGATCTGGGCCTAATTGCATTTACAATATCTTCGGGTTTCTCAGCCTTTTGTTCGCACCAAATTGAAAATGTCAGCCATGTGAATTAACCCCGTCACTGCTAGTGCAACCATTCAACAAAGACTAATGGACTTTGTGGTCAGAGTTGCACACATTTCTCTAGAAGGTTGCATCAGCAGTTAGTATGCCTCTCATAGTGATGTAACTCCAATGTGTCTCTTTGACCTTGTGCACAGCTGATGATATGAAGGAGCACAAAATATTATGAGCAAGTATTTCTTAAAATCAAACTGTGAAAAGCTCTATCCTGATACTAAATTTCAAATTTGTAAATTATTTTTTTATTTCTGTGTCATGAGAAGGCTTATCCCACGAAAGCTAGAATTTTAAGGCAGTACGGTTTCAGACTGAGCCCTGACCTAAAAGGTGCTTCCCTTTTGATGTCATCAGCCAATAACAGGAGAGGAAATATGACATCAGTAGATATTCACAGACTTGACGCATTTCCTCAGCGTAGCTTACACTCTATCCCAGGCTGAACCTGCACCTCGTGGTACAATGTTTGCTTCATGTTTTGTCCCTGTCACCTAGGGAATCACAGTAATAGCTAGTTAAACATACATCGCCTACACCTCAGGCTGTCATGCATCCTGAACGTCTGTCTCTTGGTAGTTATCTCCCACCTATCTTTTGTTGTTTCTCTTATTCTGTGCTCTTTTATGCTTTGTCTTTTCCCTTCTTCTCCTTCCCCCATCTCTTTCTGAAATCTCTTTTACTCCCTTTTCCCACTTGTGATTTTCAGGTACATTTTTTTGTCTTCATTTTTTTCCTTCATAGCTGTTCCTGTGTTAGGTTGCTATATTGGAGATGGTTACTGGAAAACAGGGTGGTTATTCGAGTACACCCAAATGTCAGCCTGGTTCTATCTGCCTAGAAGATTTATGCTCATTCTCCTTTTACCTATTTCTTCTCTCACCTATCACTCTCTCTGTGTCTCTTTCTGTTTTTGTGTTTGTGTGTGCATGTACTTTAAAAGGCAAGAAAAACTCCATCCTGCAGCACAAGGTACAACACGACCTCAGCTCTGGTGTACTCAACTACCAGGAGAATGAGATCATCCAGCAGATTGTGCAGCATGACAGGGACATGGCCCACTGTGCACACCTCATGCAGAATGCCCCACCCCAGTCGCCTCCCTCGCCTACCCCTGTCATCTGGGCCCCCCTCATCCAGGCCCCTCTCCAGGCAGCAGCCGCCACCACCTCAGTAGCCATTGCCCTGACACACCATCCCCACCTCCCACCAACACTCTTCAGGCCTCCGGTTTCTGTTCTGGGGTCTCTAAAGGACCCTCCCAGCCGGCTCAAGAAGTTCCACACATTTGTTCCTTCATCCAAAGCACCTGGCTCTGCTGGGGACTCTCCCTCTAGCACACCCTCGAAACTGCGCACTGGGGTGGACATGCCATTGCTGGCCTCTTTTCGGGCTCAGCACATGACATCAGGTTCAGGGGCAACTGGCTCTAGCCAGCAGGCTTCAGGTAGCGGAGGCCAGCGTGGACCTAGTGGGGGTGGGTCTGGGTCTGGGTCCAGTGGAGGAGGGGCAACTGCGTTCCCCTTCGGACCATACTCATCGTCTGGTTCACCCTCATCTAGTATGGCCCAGCTACACCCACAACCACAGCATCTACAGCCCTTCCGCTCCAGCACCCCACCTCTCTCAAACCTCTTCCACCAAGGATCTACAGGAGGAAGCACGGGGTCAGGAATAAGTGGAGGAGCAGTTGGAGCTTGTGGTGGTGCTACAGGGTGGTCTGCAGGTGGAGGTTCTGTGGAAGGAGCCACTGGAGGAGACACTGCTTGGGCTGGAGAGGACTTTACAACTGGAATAACAGAAGCAACTCCCGACGGTCACTTTGGTGTGGGAGGAGCTACTGGTGGATCAGTAGGAGGGATCTCAGGGGAATCAGTGGGAGGGATATCTGAAGGATTGGTGGGTGCTACTTGTGGCAGGTTAGCAGGTGGGGCATCAGGTGGATCAGTGGGGGGCGTTACTTGTGGGCCAATGGGAGATGCAGCCAGGAGATCAATGAGAAGGGTTTCCAGAGGATCAATTGGAAGGGCTTCTGGGGGATCAGTGGGAGGGGCTTCAGGAGAATCACTAGTAGTCACGACTACTGGAGGATCATTAGGGAGGGCGTCTGGTGGATCAATGGGAGTGGTTACTGGGGGATTGACAGGCGGGGCGTGTGGGGGACCACTTGGAGGGCTTTCTGGGGATCCAGTGGTGGGGAATCCTTGTGGATCGTTGGGAAGGGCTTCTGGTGGATCAGCAACTACAGCAACTAGCCATATAGGAGGAGGTTTGAGTGGGCCAGGGGGAGGGGTGATTGGAGGACATATTGGCAGAGCAGCAGGAGGGGCAGTAGGGAGCCATATAGGAGGTTCTACCGCTTTTCCTGTAGGAGGGGCTTCTGGTGGAATTACAGCTGGACTCATTGGTTCCTCCCGTTGTCAGAGTCCTATATCTACTGGCTCATCCAGCCCTATGCCTGGGCAGCTTCTCCATAGCCAGCCACCTCCCAAGCCTCCTCCGGTGGCTCCTCTGCAGCAGTTTGCTGGGGGAGGCAGGACTACCAGTGGCTTAAACCTCTTCCATTCCCCTCCACAAGGCTCCCCAACTTCTAGCAGACGACAGCACAGCCAGCAGCCTGCTGAGGGCTCCCCATCTTCCCTCAGCCATTTTAGCCTAGCAGGCCTCCAGTCTGGCTTCCTGCCTCACCAGATGTCCCTAGAGAGGTCTGCCCTGGCCTCACTGGCCCAGTATGGTTCAGCAAACGCCTCCCCCTGCCTTACCCCAGTTGCGCCCAGCCCTACCGTTCAAAGCCCAGTGGCAGGCAGGACTTTCCACTACAGTGACCCCTCCAGCACCACAGGATCCCACAGTTCTCTGCTCATGCCTCAGTCTTCTCTCCCTTCACAGCTTCCCAGCCAGCCACACACAACAGGGAGAGATTCTCCACTGGGCCGCTTTTCTGAGGACCTAAAGCTTTTATCCAGCTCACACCCATCTCTGCAGCAGGAGGTGGCCCAGGCCTTAGGCCACCAAACTCCTCGCTCCTCTGTGGAAACTGGATATTACCCCTCACCCTTTTCCTCACCCACTCTTGTGCCCAAACCCTGTAGCTCAGTGCCAGGGCGCATGACTCCTCCAATCCAGACGTCTCCGGGGCACCCTCAGCAGACTCGGTCTCCTGGGGCCTCCCCGGCTTTGCCGCTGAGGAGGAGCTCTGCTGCCTACTCATCAGATCTAGAACCTCAAACTGTCCGCTCTAAACTCCCTTCCAATTTGTGAGGATTGATCACACCCTCCTGTGCTCCTCCGAACTGAAACACACACAAACTATCTCCATGTGTGGCATTCTTTTCTTTCTGTCTAAAGACTTCACTGTGTTCCACCTCTCATTTTACCAAGATCTTAAATTTACTGTGATTTAAAAGACTCTTTACCTGGTAACTCAGAGCTCTAGAATAGTCTAAATTTGTTTTAAGCTTTTGACGTCTTTTTTTATTCATACATACTGTATATAGATAGAGATATATTTAAATGATAAGTTAATCAAGGGACTAGGAGGGTGTGAAAAACAGGACAGTCATTTTCTTTATTTCTATAACTATGCCAAATTCATCCGGTGATGTTTGGGAAGATAATTCAATGGACAACACAATAATACTCTTTTTCTGCAGGAACCTATGCACTAATACCTGCATGTATAAAGGCTTTTTGTGTGTTTCAAAAAAAAAAAAAAATTATCTACATTTTTAGCTACAACAACATGCTTCGAGACAGGCTGACTCTTGTACCATCTCATTTAGGATCACATATTGTTGATCCTTAAATGTATCTATTAGATTGTACTTATTTATCCTCTGTATAAACTTTTCAAAACCTTACGAGAGATGGAGAAGAGATTTTAGGAAACCAAAAAGACTTTTCCTGTGGGGTAATAATTCGCCTCCTCTTGGCCCATCGATCCTTATTTTATACCACTTTATCGTAATAATACTGTTTTTTGAAGCAGGGCGAGAGGGGTTCAGCGAGCTACCCTCCATCTCAATATTGAGACATAACAGTATGTGAGCAACTGGCTTTCTGCAGAGTCCTCAACCATGTCCTAACAAGCTCACTTTGTCTTCCAAGCTCATGCCACTTAATCTGTGTAGAAAGCATGTGTTGTTTTTTTCTTCCTGACTGTGTGCAACTGTTAATGTGTGAGTGTTAGTGAGAATACATGCGTGAGTCAGTGGAACAGTCGGATGCAAGGCAAGACTTTTCCCTGGACTGATCAAAAGGACGTTTGCCTTTTTTCACACAAAAAAAAAACTAGGACTTCCATTAAACCACAGCTTGTGTGTTGCATTGTGTAGCACTCACAATTCAAAATCAAAGCTAGTAAAAAATACAGTAGCCCCAACACTACACTTTCAGTTATTGAGCAAATACAGTACATACAGTACACAAGCTGAAATATCCTAAAAGTGCTAGAAACAGAAATATGCCACTTGATATTTGATTTGTGCATTACTTCTTCTACTGTAGCTGCTATATGGTCAACATAGACATGTCTCCTCACTGAAGGCTTGTGTTGAGTTTGAGATGTTGAATGTATGTACATTTGTTGTTGTTAAAAGTAAGTACTTTATGGTAGATGCACTGAAGGCTCTGTGCCCCCGGGGGGGGTGGGGGGGGTAAAGACAGTTCCATGACTAAAAAGGTCACTGGTTGAATATGTACAACAGACGTTTTCATCAGCAGCCATTTCTCCCGAAAAAAAGTGTCCTTTAGGAAGACACAGAACCACTACCGGCTAAATTGTTGTCAGGCAATGTGGATATATGACTCGACATGCTGCCCAAAACAGCCCACTCTTTACTGCAGGAGCGCCATAAAGTACTACAACTGCGTACTACAACCCTGAGAGAAACTGCACATCATTCAAAAACAGACCCCCTGTTTCGATTGCATTGCTGCGGGTATATCTGGATTCAGATAGCCTACGCTGCATTCATGGAGCAAGCCTATTATCGATTTGTTTGGTTTTTTTTTGCAGTCAAAAGTGAAAGATGAGAAAATGCCCTTTCTGTGTTTATGTATGTGCATTCATCTAAATCCTGGTGACTCTGAGCCTCAGAGTTGTCGAGAAAACTGAATACACAGTAGAGCAAGGTATCACCACGCTCCCAAAGGAGTGTAGCAGTGATATGCTTCTACATGTTTGTCTGTAGCTCATCACCAAGACAGACCCGGGTTCCACTCAGACAGCTGAGTCCCTAACTCAGTCACAGCACTCAGCCACAGCAGCCTAATTTAACAAGACATGCCTGTAATCCCTTGACCCTAACAGGCTATCATGGACTCACACACAGAGGTGCACAGTGACCATGCTCTCCCCTCATTACAGTTCCCAGAAGTCCCCATAATAAGGTAGAGCAATACACATGACATGACACTCGGCTGCAGGAGTGCACATTTACAGACATGCACTCAGCCACAAGAGCACACAATGACTGCTCCTGGCAGAAAATAAAAACTATTCAACAATCCCATTTTTTTTTTTTTTTGTATCCACAGCATTTATGTTGCTGAAAATATCCTCAACTGAATTTTCAATAAGCAAATCTATGTCCAATTGATTTTCCACTTTCTTATTGGATTCACACCAGCCAGGCCAGTTTATATAGCCAGTAGTTCTTACCAATTTTATGATTAGGGATTTAATGTATGAGTTTTGTTGAAGACATGAATACATGAACTGTAACCTTCGGCAGACGTGGGATATGAATATCTATTTCAATTAGTTTTTTTTTTTTTTAAAGCTACACTATTGACAGTGTGCTACATGTTAGGGTGTTGATGTTTTTCCTTACTTTTGTTGAGATAAATGGCCAAATGTAGACATCATTCATTGATGTCAAGATCATTCCAGTGCAAAAAAAGAAAAAAAAAATTCTACCATAGTGCTGAATATGAGAAAATATAATGATTAATCATAACAATGGTAAGCACATGGCTTTGTTGTCATTCTGTCAGAACTGCCTCAATAATCCAATGTAACACCAAACATTACTGTGATTTGCAAGTGTGACAAAACCAACTGCTCAATGCAACATATCCAGACATGATCTGTGTTATCATTACCTGAAATGTAACACCTGACGTAGAATTAGATGAGACAGACTGAGGGGCAGTCGACACAGCAAGAACTCTATGATTATTTGGCTGATCATCAGAGAATTACTCCTGTATTATATTACATAGGTGAGATCAATAATGGATTATATCTTTTAACTGGATACACATGACCTTTTCATGGTCTTCTCCGCAGACAGAGCAGGCGTAACTAATGGCTAGAGCAGTGTTTTGTTCACCTCTCCTCTCCATTTAACACCTTGCCTGTATCTACAGTAAACAACTATCTGAAAGGCTCTGAAAAGTTTACGTTGGCCACACGATACGGGGCCTGGGAATCTTCAGCCCACCATCTAGAGGGGCAGAGAGGTGGAAGGGACAAAGCTCTGCGACAGTATAGACAGAAAGCGAATAGAGGGAACTGTTGCACCTCTGGAATACTGATTGTCTGCACACAGTGTAGGCATTTTAACCTTGGTCTTCCTGTACCTGCTAGCCTTGGACGTCATGAAAAGTCCCCCTTTTTCCCCTCATGATATGACCTTATTTAGGTGTAGGGAACAATGTAGTCGGACACTCAGTCACCGGGAAGACAGGCACCCCATGGGGTACTCATGCTGACAGGGTGCGTGTTCCGGGTTGGACCGGTGGCATGTTGCCCCCTGCCTTATGATTGTTCCTGAGTGCTAGTGGATGCTTCTTACTGTGGTATTGATTGGAATGACATAAAGGAAAGCTTTGAGCTGTGCTGTGTAGCTAGCAGCAAGTGTATAAATGTGTGTGTGACTGTGTTTCCTGCGCTGCCTGGCAGGGTCGATGACTGGGGCTGGACGCTGTCTAAGGAGGGTGGGACAGGGAGCCACAGGTCAGAGCTTACAGAGAGATAGACATTGGACAGGGATTGATTAGTTGGCCTGAACTTAGTCTGGTCTATTATCACAGATAAGTGGTTTAGGAGAAGGGTGGGTGGGTGTATCAGCTGAATCTGTCACTAACAGTTAGAGAGCTGACACAATCTGCATGCTTACCTGTCTGTTTCATCTGGGGCCAGAATCTTTGCAAATTATTCTGTCCTGGACTTTATATGCAAGAAAACTCTTTTTTTTTTTTTTTTTTAAAAATGAAAATAAGAAAAGCAGTTTTTGATTGATAACCATGCAGCTTTGAAATCATGTCATGGAAATGAAAAAGGGGTTTCTTAAGCCGTAGGTTCATGAAATTTGGAGTAACAAGATTTTCACCTGACAGCAATGTTTATTCTTCAAGGGGATTTGCTATTTCCATCCTTGCAGACTATTTGTTGCAGCTGCATCTGTAGCGTAATGGAGTATCGAGACTGTGTTTTTTTTTGTTTTTTTTGAGGAATCATCTGGGAATTAGATAAGGAGGCTTTGAAACTTTGTGTCTTTTGAGAGAGGCGAATAAAGAAAAACAACTGTGACTCACTCGCTCACGCAGGGAACTATTTCCATTATGTCTCCCTGTGTCACCCATCTGAACAGGGGAAGAAAACGGCTGTTTGAGGGCAAAGGAGGAAATAGCAATGAAGGGCAGTTGAAGGATCACGACAGCTGCCAGCAGTCTGCCCAAGCTAGGCTATTCTGAAATCAGTACAGAGGAAACAGTGGGAAAGCGCCTGACGTGTCTGTATTTTGCTCCTGTCAGGGATTGTTTCATTTTAACATCATGCATTTGTATGAAATGGTTGCTCTGTTTCAACTGAATCTAATCTAAGTCAGGGCTGCCTAGTGTCGGAACTGAAACTGTGTATTTTGAGATAAAAAGCAAAATTAATGCAAACTCATAATGTCTGGCAAAAATTAATATTATTACATTTCTCTGCCTGGAGCCGTACCTGGGTCCAGCCCTGCTGTTGGCCCTATAACCAAATGTGTTGTGAAACAGCCAGCAGGTTTCTACGTTGCTTCAATGATGGAGCTCCACATGGCACCTCTGTACCACCTCCAACTCGTGGTTGTTTCTGTAATGCAGCATTCTCAGATTTTGCTTGGTGCACTTCCAATTTCGCCGCCTAATCTTAGCCTCCCTCTCCTTTTGTGCCGCCCCACTCGCCCATGAATATGTGTTGGTGAATCAGCGATGCACACTAATGAAATCATTTGCTATGATTGAGGATTAGATGTAGCAGTGGCGGAATCGAACCT